TTTGGGAAACTACCATATAACCAAGGGACTGGACTTGCCCGGATTGCTGCATGGGATGACGCTCCACATCATCGAAGTCAACCTCCAAAGACGTGTTGCGAAGGCAGGAAACACTCAGTCTGAGCAACAGCTTACTGGTGGCTAGTAGGGAATGAAAGGAAGAATTCTATTGGGGTCATTGTCTAGAATCCTATGCTCACTACAAAGGGATCTGGCAGCAGAGGATTTTAGGTTCACAACTGGACAGAAATCTCTTGCTCACCCTCCCGACGAACCTAATGAAAACCTCCTACAAAAACAAAGGGATCCATTCCCCCATTCAACCACCAGTAAGTCTAGGCAAGAAGGAGGCGATGGGACCAGTTTGAGAGAGAGGTCCACGTCAAGCACGATGTTCTCCAGCTTGATGTCTGACAGGGACTCTGTTTCAATCACAGGGCAATGGCAGCGAAGGGTAAACCCCCAAACTTACAAGGTTTCCGTACTGGAGGCTGGTAGGAAATGCAGGGATGGAACCCTGAGGTAGTCCTATATGATCCTCCGATCATCCACTATAGACCGTGCCCGTACTAGCAATCAGTAAGTTTCGGGCTTGCAGTGCTCACGCGGGTAGAGGCTGCAACATCCATTGTTTCAGGACTGAGCAATCTGAGGACGCTGCCGCGATGCAGCGCACCAGAGCTGTGCATGGCCTGTCATGATTTTTCCCAGCGGGTATTCCAAGAAATGCAGGTCCGCGCTTTTGGCACAATAATTACTTAAGAGCTCAAAGTAGCAGGCTTCCAGAATTCAGGGGTCCTGGTTTTAGATCTGAGCGACACGAAAACTAGAATCCATGTAAGATGAATTGAGAAACAAGGTAGGGTTAAGGGTTTATAGGGTTTNNTAGGGTTTAGGGTTTAAGGTTTGTCGCAATATTGCAGCTTCAGTATCTACTCGCAAACCCCTCCAGCAATATTAGCCGCATTACGGGGACTTAATCTTGGGGCTTCCATGTGCATTCCCCCTTCAGTAGATAGAACATGGCTTTGGGTATTTTATAATAAGGTCCCCATATATCCCATATTCTATCTTCTTAAGGGGGACTGTACAAACAAACACCTTGGACAGAACCAGCATTACTTTCACTTTAGCGGCTTCATGTAGCAAAAATGTATATGTGTAGGTATCTATATATATATGTGTACATGTAGATACAGACAAAGAGATAGGTACATATGTAGCTAGAGATTCTACAAGTATATGTGTACATATAATACACTGAAAGCTTCAAGTTATAAGCTACTGAAACTACACATCCCTAGCTCTCAACGCTAAGCCTTGAACCCTGAACCCTAAATCTGAACTCTGAACCCATGCCTTAATGGATTTGACTTTTCCCGCGGTAAAAGCTAGCCTCCAGCGCAGAGAGCACTTGGCGGGAGATTTTCTTCACCTCCTCAAGGCTTGCTGAGGGCTTTGAACTTCTTTTCAGGCGGAAATGAGGGGTTTCCCAAAATTAGGGGTACCATTTTGGGGGCCCCATAATAAGGACTATAATATTTTGGGGTCTATATTGGGGTCCCCCTAATTTTGGGAAACTACCAAATGTCACAGAGGCTACTGCATGCTGTAGGCCTTCATGACATTTTCACCTGCCTTGAGGACTAAATGAGCCCCAATTTGGGATCACGGTGCCCTGCACATTTCAGAGCCCAATTATTGGACGGACCGATAAGCGTGCAGGCCTCATGTAGTCCCCAAAGGGGGTTCAAACGCCCGACCCCAAAACCAACAGCTGCAGCGCTTGTTTTCATGCGCCAAGCAGTCACTTCGGACAAGAAAGGCATGCTGTCCTTGACATAACTCAGCTGGTATAACCCCTGCCCCCGAATGTTAGGCAGCGCTCAAGGCCTGCCCCCCACCCCTAATAGCCCTCATACTAGATAGAGCGGAAAGTAGCCCAAAGATACTGTGGGGGAAGGGATTCAACGAAAAACGTAAAGCGCAGCATAGCTCGCCAGAATGCCCACTGGCAAAGGTCTAGGTGAAACCACTCACTACCGATCACTATGTACCGAGACCCTCCACCTACCCTCTGTATAGTCTGAATAGGGACAACATATACCCCCATCCAAAGGGTACAAGGAGGGTCCTGGTAATGGCAGCTTGCGAAGGAAGCATCAGGGACTTTCTCAAAAGAAGCTCCATAGGATCTCTTCAGGGGCACACGTCTACTGCGCTTAATCCCCCTATCCCATACATGGCCACAACCCCATAAAAGGGCCCAAGAGTGATCTGAAACTACCTTAAAACCTGAGCCCGAAACCTAAACCACTAAAAAGGGTCCCCCTAGAAGGGTACGCTATCTTGAGAAACTCCTCCCTCTCACAACGTGTCACGGCTCCAGTAGCTAAAGCTCTTTCGTCCACACTTCGCCTGCCATGTGCTATCCTCAAGTCCCTTTGAGCTACTTGATGGTGCTTACAGGTGGTGGCAGGGGACAATGTGAGTGAGGGAGTGGAGTTGAATGTTATGATAGGGGGATATATGAGCTACAGTCTAAATGCCTAGTATCTCCATTAATGACTCCTTTTTGTACTCCCCTATATCATCCCCTTTAAGGAGTTTAGACTATAGCTCATATGAAGATGATGTAGGAATAGTTGTAGGAATCCACTACTCCCATGCCCCTTCAGCACCAGCGAGTTGAGTTTGGGGTTCTCATAATTTCGGTTCCCAATGTAAGCCCATAACATGTCGATCCATAGACTTTGAGTGTATAGTCCCACTTAAGTAGATAGAATATGGCTTTGGGTATATTACAATAAGATCCCCATATACCACATATTCTATCTACCTAAGGAGGACTCTACTTAAGGGCCAAGAATTTTCAGCAACTCCTAGGACATGAGTACGCTTCAGTTCTCAGGCGCGGGCCATCGCTCCAGTTGATAAGCAACTTGCTGCTGGATGCCGAGTAAACCACAATACCTTCATGTCGAACGCCCTCCAAATCCATGCAAATCCTGCTTGTCAGGCGTGTCTCTGCTTCGGGTCATCTTGAGCAAGAGGTTGGAGGTTCACGCGAAGTCGTAAGTGGGAGTGCGAGTATGATAACTTCTTCCTTAAGATAGGGTATTTAACTTGATTCCCCCAAATACAACTAGCACAGGAACCTCCCAGGAGCAAGTGTTGCAAGCAGTCCTGTCTTCCCCTAGGCCCTTCAACAAGGTTGGCGGATGTTGATACAAAGGCTGCCAGATCATCTTGTTGTCTTGGATTCGACCTCAAGAGAAACTCAAGGTCTAGGATGCCCAGTGCCCTTGCATTGAAGGACCACATCTTGCAGGGCGGTGCATGGCAAGATTTTCAGAAGCCCTAAACCCCAAAATCTCCAAAACCCTAGACCCTAAACCCTGAATCCTAAACCCTAAATCCAGCCAGAAGTGTAGTCAAGCTTCCCAGAAGGCATTTGTCTTGCATCCTTCGCCATCTGCCCTGCAACGTCCCTCCAAATAGGCCTCTCGTGTCGTGGAGGCTTTACGGTGGCTCAGTTTAACTATAGGGGTAATAATGGAAAAGAAAATGGAAACTATAGGGATTATAGGGCTTATATAGGGGTTATAGGGTATATTTGGGGGGTTATAATGGGGATAATGGAAAAGAAAATGGAAACCCCTAGGGTTTAGGGTTTAGGTTTTAGGGTATGGCGGGAAATTTAAGGGTTATATAGGAATAACTTTTGGGATTTTGCCACTTACGATTTAGGGTTTAGGGTTTAGAGAGATCTTACCCCAACTACTTCAAAATCAAACGGGAAATATAGTGGAAGCTACTATGTTTTAGGGTTTTGGAGATTTAGGGATTATGGGTTCAGGGTGTAGGTTGTAGGATTCTATTGTCGTTCATTTTCAGGCTAGGGGGTGAACTGCTTCATAATAATGGAGTAGAGATTTGTGGGCATTATAGGTCCTGCTGCTGTGGTGGCCTGAAGCAGGGTGAATACAACATCAGGTGACGATGCGTGTATGCAAGACCTAGAATGAAGAGGTGGAGAATCAAATCGTTGAGAAATTCTCCCCGATTTCACGGGGACCCTGGCATCATCGCCCCAAGCACTAGACCTAAGCGCCAGGCCCAATCTTGCCAGAAAGTCCAAAACCCCTATAATCAATCCCACTTAAGTAGATAGAATATAATATAGGGTATATGAGGATCTTATTATACTATACCCAAAGCCACATTCTAGCCTAAAGACCTCCTGAAGCCCTGCTTGCCTTGCTTCAACGGACTTGACTTTTCCTCGTGTTGAAGCCTGATCGCGTCGGCAACCTTAGTCATGCTGAGTTGAGAATTGCATCTAGGGACTGACAGGTAGTCTTAAACTGGGGGTCAGATTGGGATGACCTAAGCCCAGCAACCCTAAAAGCCTTAACCTGAAACCCCTTTTAACCCTTCCAACCCTAAACCCGCTATAACCCTACTATAGTAGTTTCCATGTTCTTTTCCATTATCCCTATATAACCCATATATATATATATACACACCCTATTATCACCCTTATAACCCTTAACCCAGATATCTATCCAACTCATCCCCAACCAAAAATGAGTCGGCAACCGTTGTCATTGTCTCCACAGTCACCATCTGGCCCGAGTCGGTCTCATCCTGCATCAACCAGAGAGTTTCTCGAAAAAGTTCTGGGGGGGCCCTGTTGTCCTTAAATGAGCTATAGTCTGGACTCCTAGTATACCCCTTGGTAAGCCCCATAATACTCCCCTGTACAAGCCCCCCTATGGAGTTTAGACCAGAGCTCATATGAGCTACTGTCTAAA